ATCACAGACAATCACAAGGAGGTGAATCGGCAACAAGTAGATTTGACAACATCACAAATCTTCCAGTCACAGTAACTGATATCAGCCATCCTATCCCAACCAGATTTCAACGCGATCATCCTATTCAAAATGTTATTGGTCCACTAGAAAGCGGGGTTCAGCCCAGAAGTCAAAGTGGAGATGTCAACGAATGTCTCTATTCGTGCTTTATATCCCAAATTGAACCAAAGAGTGTGGCCATGACATTAAATGAACCAAGCTGGGTAGATGCAATGCGTGAAGAACTAAATCAGTTTGAGAATTTGAGAGTATGGCAATTGGTAGAGCTACCAAAGGGCAAGAAGTCTTTGGACATGCGTTGGGTCTTCAGAAATAAGCAAGATGATAGCGGGGTTATTGTGCGCAATAAAGCTCATTTGGTCGTTCGCGGATTCAAGCAGATAGAGGGTCTTGACTACACAGAAGTATATACTCATGTAGCACATTTGGACGTCATTCGTATATTCCTAGCATATGCTTCCTACATGGGATTTATAGTTTATCAAATGGATGTCAAGACAACCTTCTTGTTCGGAGTCGTGAAGGAGGAGATTTATGTTGATCAACCACCAGGTTTTGTCAATCCAATGTTTATAAATCATGTTTACAAGCTGGACAAGGCTCTATATGGGTTGCATCAGGATCCTAGAGCTTGGTATGCTACCCTAACTAAACATTTGCTTAAGCACGGATACACAAGGGGAACGATCGATCAGACATTATTCATCAAGAAAGTGGATGCAAATTTGATTGTTGTACAGATCTACGTAGACGATATCATCTTCGGGTCGACCAGCACAGAGTTATGCAAAGAGTTCGAGGATGTAATGAAGAAAAGATTCGAGATGAGCTCGCTGGGTGAGATGACAATGTTCCTAGGGTTACAGGTTCGACAGGATTTGGCCAGAATTTTATTGCATCAAGGCAAATATGTGGAAGACATGCTAGAAAAGTTTGGTTTTAAAGACTCAAAAATTTCTTCGACTCTAATGGCAGAAGGACCACTGTTGACTCCCGATCCAGATGGGGAATCTATAGATCAAACTGAATATCGATCGATGATCGGATCTCTGATGTATCTGACTGCCAACAGACCTGACATCATGTTTGCCGTCTGTCAATGCGCTCGTTATCAGGCTAATCCTAAACTTTCCCATTTAATTGCTGTTAAAAAGATTTTTAGGTACCTTAAAGGTAGCCCTAAACCGGGTCTTTGGTATCCTAAAAATCTCGATTTCGATTTATATGCTTTTGCTGACAGCAACTATGAAGGGTGTGATCTTGACAGGAAATCTACATCGGGTGGGTGTCAGTTTTTAGGTGATCGATTGGTGTCATGGCAATGCAAGAAACAGCGAACGGTGTCGACCTCAACGGCTGAGGCTGAATACGTTGCTGCCTCAGCCTGATGCTCTCAGGTTATCTGGATTCAACACCAATTGCTGGATTATGGTTTGAACTTTCTTGACACTTCCATTTTTTGTGATAATGATGCGGCCATTCAAATTGCTAAAAATCCGATTCAACATTCCAAAACCAAGCACATTGCATTAAAATTCATTTTATTCGAGACTGTTATGAGCGTAAACTCATTCGTTTGGAACAAACTCACACTGATAACAATGTGGCGGATTTGCTTACCAAACCCTTCAGTAAATCTCGTTTCGATGTGCCTGTGGGCTTTCTAAAAATGATTTGTTTCAAAGATTAAGTTTCTACTTTTTATTTATTTTTATTTTTTTATTTTTTATTTTCTGTGTGTTTAAATTTGCGTATTTCTTTATTTAATTTCTTCTCCATGCACAAATTTAGGGGGAGAAATAAAAAAAAATTAAAAAAAAAACAAAATTTTTTTTAAAAAAAAAAATCAAAATTACAAAAATATGTTTTCTTTCGTAAGTATTTTTGGAAAGTGATATGAAGTTTAGTGCTAAAGGGCAATATGAGATGCGTGTAATGCACTGAAGCTAAATTGTTTAGACTCTTTGTTCAATGTGCTGGTAGGCACAGGATTCAAAATTAAACGACTAGACACTGCTGACATTGAAAGGACTTGACAATGTTAACTCATTTGGACTTAGATAGTTTCATTTGGACTGACCATACGACGCTCGTATAGATTGAGTAGGGAGATAAACAGGGAACCTACAAGATACATCAAGGTTACTTATTATCTAGAACTGTGGCTCAACACTTCTTCGATGTACGGACTTATGTCCTTAATTCTGGTGCTGATAGGGTGACTGGGGGTTCTATTAAAGTAGGTCTGTGTGAAATTGTTTTTCTTTCTTATCCTCTCTGTCTGTCATATGTTGCCTTGTTTGCGTGATCGGAAGATCCGACCTAGGACGCAACATATGCACCTCTATTTCTATACATCTCTATCTATGCTTCTTTCTATCTATCTATGTCAGTCATATGCTGTTCCCTCTGCGTGATTGGAAGACATCCGACCTGGGACATAACATATGCACCTTTATATCTCTCTAACCCTCTATCTATGTTAGTCATATGTTTTCCCTTTGCGTGATTGGAAGAGATCCGACCTGGGATACAACATATGCATCTCTATATCTATTTTCTCTCTCAAATAATTGAGCACTCACATATAGTAAAGAGCACTTTTGGAATTCCTTGATTGCTAGGGCATGTCGTGAAGTGGAGAACACACTCTAGTGCATTGAAAATTGAATTAACTAAAGGTTGACTGTAGATCTCGCTGCTGAATTTAAGTAGACAACAATATCCTTGGTCGTCGTCAGCAAAATGGTCTAATAGGAATATAGTTGCAATGTCTTGTCATTTATAATCTGTCCAACTTGTCAACATCCTTTGTGTTTAAGTGGACGACAATATTGGTGATTGACCAGAGCTAAACATGCAGGTGCGTGCTGATAAACGATATTGAATTGATTGACAACTTTGATCCCAAAAGTCTTTGTTTTGTACATTTTGTATTTTATTTTTGTTTCTGTTAACTTTGTTCATATTTTTCCTCTATACACAAATTTAGGGAGAAAATTAAAAAAATTCAAACAAAAATCTAAAAATCTAAAAAATCTAAAAATATTTTATTTTGAGTGCATTTTTGGTTATCTAAGTGTGTTTATTTTATTGTATTTTATTTTATTTTACTTCAAATTTTTATTTTATTTTATTGTTTTGTTCATCTATGAAACGATTTTTTTTAAAAGAATCTCATTGATTTCGGTGGCCCAAAATTCCAAGAACCCAATCTCTTTGAATATAAAAGCATTCTTTTTTTCTTTTTGCTTCATTTCTCAAAATCCACACCGAAATCAAGTTGTTGCTTTCTCTCAAAAACCCTAGACGAAAACCTCTGCAGTTCATCGAGAAAACTTCTTTTTTTGGTTCAAAAATCATCAAATCTCACCTGATTTATTGAAATTTTCTCTAGGTATGCATAGTACGAACATCACACTTCATTTTTATTGTGTTTTTGAGGTGTTTACAGGTAGCTAATGGCGTTTTCCGGCGTGTTGACGGTAGTTTCCGGCGAAGCTGTCAACATATGAATCGTCGGGTTTTTTTTTTCGGGTTTTCGGTTTGATCCGGATCCGACAGAAAACCCCTTTGCTTTTACCGAAAACCTTTTACTTGACCGAAATCAATTAATTCACCCGAAAAACCAATTAAGCTGACCGAAAACATTTTGGTCAAATGTGGTTTGACCGTAAACGATGGAAGGCTTGACCTTGACCGCAAACGTTTGGTCAAAAGTAATTTGTCCGAAAACGATCTTGACCGAAAACACATAAACCTTGACTTTGACTGAAAACATAAATTTTGGACCGAAATCAACATTTTTGGACAAAAATTTGTTTTTTTTTTTGAGAAAATAATTTTGAATCTTAACTTTTTATTATTCTCATTTGACTCGTTTGGTGCAGATAAATGGCAAATCAGTTAAAGTTCTTTGACAATCACAATGTTGCTGGATATCTTATGGACCCTCCTGCTGCTCATCGATAATTCAAATCTATGATTGTGGGCTTGAATAATTGCAGAATTTCTCACGCTTTGCGTTCTAATCCCGTCGTCTTCAAGGACCTGATTGCTGGTTTCTGGAAAAATGCATCTGTCAGTAACCAGGGAGAAGATGGAGCTGGTACTATTGAATCAGTGGTGAAGGGAACTAAAGTAGTTGTCTCTGAGCAAGTTATTCGAGTAGCGCTTGAATTTGGTGATGTCCCTACATTTCCAATTGAGTACCCTGTTGGTCAAGTGAAGGAGGTGCTTGAGAAAATGTGCTATGAAGGAACCTATCCTCCCACCGTCATGAAGCAGTTGCCACCTTATTGAAGGTTTCTAGCGCATTACTTTGTAAGTTGCATTTATGGAAGGAAAGGAGGATTTGATGAGATTACTCAGACTGCGACCTCAGCTATTTTCGCTCTAACAATGAACTGGGATTACAACTTTTCAAAGTTTGTCTTTGAAGAAATGAAAAGAAACCTCCAGGGGAGGAAGAAGGATCAGTTCTTAATGTATCCCAGGTTCCTTCAAATGATCTTCAATGAAAAATATCCCCAAATTGAGAGGTCATCTGACACCTTGGATATAAAAGAATTGGGTCCTAGCACCTTTAGGCTCATGAAGCAATCAAGACAATCTGCAAAAGTCGTCTATCAAGGATTAAAGGAGCTGGTGAAATTTGGAAAATTTGCAGAGACAGAAAGTGTTCAAACTTCAAGTGCTCAAACTGCTGGTGGCCGAAGATCACGCGGTGCCATCAAGACCAAATCTCAGTTCTTCATTTGAAGTTTCTGATGAGGATGATGATGATGATGATGATGATGATAGTGATAGTGATAACGATGGTATGGATTTTCGTATGTTTGTACCGTCGAAGGAGCCAGTCAATGAGGCTGTGATTTCTCCAGCTGAGACAAAAGGAAGTCAACATTTTTAAGCAACAAAATGATCCTACTCCCGAACCAATGGAAGCTCTTCTTGACAAATTACAATCAAATGCAAGGAAGCCTCCCCAAGTAGTTTATGTTACTTCTGAGTCTCCATATGGGAGTGATAAAGACAATTCAAAAGCCTCCTTGTTGCGACGAAAGCAAAAACGTAGAGATCCAAGGCCGGGAGTGCTTTCTACTGAACCAGTACAACAACCTTCTCAGATTGTTGAGTCCGCTCAAGTTACTCATGATGTTCAAAGTCCGATTATTGAGCCAGCTCAAGTTATTCAAGATGTTCAAAGTCCAATTATTGAACCAGATCAGGCTCATCAAGATGTTCAAAGTCAAATGACTAATGTGGAAACATTTGCTTCGGGAAGCTCTTCTGCCCCACCACCTCCAGAGCATGATGCTGCATCTGTCAAACTAGCCAAGTTACTTGCTTTTCAAGATTCCATTTCTCAATCCAAAGGAAAAGGAATATCTATTGGCTCCAGGCAAGGAGGTGATGAAGACTACCATCAAAACATCTCTGAGCTCAAACAAGAGATTATGTTTTTGAATCAGGAGTCCATTGAGAGGGACTTACTGATTGGTAGTCTGGATGTGAGAGTTTCTAACCTTGAACAGGAGAACTCTGTTAAAGATGCGAAGATTTTTGTACTTCAAGAAAATATTGGTGGTCTAACTGCTTTATTATTTGACCTGAAATAACGCTTACATCAGAAGTTTGGTGATGATTTTCAACCTTTATGCGCTGAAGGCGAAAAGATTTATTGTTCTAGTTCTGATCCAGTCAATCCACATTCTCAACATGCAAGTGAAAGAGTTGTAATACCTGCTCCGGACGCAAATCTTGACACATTTTTATATTCTAGTCCTTCTTCTGCTCAAGAAAGAAGAGAGAAGCAAGCTCGAATTGAGCAGCTGAAAGGGAAGATGTTAGTGATGAAGCATTCGGATCAGAATGTTCCAGGTGATCACCCTGAAATGTTTTTAAGGGAAACTGGGAAGAAATTTACTGACAAGTATGGAGATCACTCTGGCATTTTGATGTGGGGATATGATGCTGACAAGAAAATGTGGATCGTGAAGCGAAAGAGCAGTCGAATTGAGTATTATGAGAAGCCAGCCAACTTTATGTCCTGGACAAAAGTTGATCTTGCTGAACTTATTCACGCTGCTTTCAACAATCCAACCAATGACTCCGCGGCCTGGTATTTTAAGAGGTTTCTTGAGGATCAAGCTAAAAATAAATTTAAAGGCATGAAGACTACTTCATCGTTCACGAAAAATGCTAAGGATGTCATTGATCGTCACACTAATAAAACCATGGTGAATGTTATGTGGCCGCCCACAATGCAAGCTAAAAGGATTCCGCCTCCCAAACGTTTACCAGAAGGTACTTTGGACTCAATGCAATTATGGGTTTATGATGAGGTTACCGCGTCGGCGGTGATCAAGCTGAAGAAGGGCCAGTATGGCATTGTCGATCCCAAAGATATGCTGAAGTTTGGAGAACGTGATATTCATACTTTGTCACATTTTCAACTTATTGTAGAAAATGAATTATTTGAAGCTGCTGGCAAAGCTTTCACTGGAATGGTTGCCACTATAATTGACAAGAAGTTGTGGGCTGGGGCATTCGATCAGTCTGATGTTCATCTTGTAGATAATCTGTAAAAGCAGCCAGCAATAAACCAATGGGAGATTGTTGGGTGATATTTTTGTGGTTTATGTTGGGCTCATAATGTTTATTGTTCTTGGGCTTAGAATAGTATTTTGTTAATGGGCTTTCTATGTTTTCGGTTGTAAGGACCGAAATCACTTTGGTGTTTTCGGTCATGATGGGTTTGGGCATTTGTGGTATTGTACTTGGTATATATATATATATATATATATATATATATATATATATATATATATATATGTATTAAGCCGTATAGGTGTTGGTTGTTCCATTCTTTAGTTCACGGCTGCTTTGGAGTTCTTATGTATCAGACGATTTATCTAATATAATCGTGTGTAGTTGAAGATATATTTGTGTGTGTTCTTGAATCATTGCTTGATTAATATTACGCATTCTTTAGGCAATTAAGATTAATATTGTTAAGATTCATTGATTTGGGACTTACAAGTGCACCAATGATGCTATGGATAACCCTAATCTGAATAAAATATCATTATTTTAAATATGGTAATTATCCACCTCCTTTGATTATCCATATATGATAAGATAATCTAGAAATTCAAGAATTATCTTATATATATTATCTAATTTCGTCCACCACCTTCCTTGGAAGGTTCTGGACGATTTTTCTCAACTATTGAACAATTGCACTTTTAGTCCATGCACATTTAATTAATTCCTTTAATCCTAAAATTAATTCCAAATTAATTTATGATTAAATATTAATTAATAATATGATTTCTAATTAATATATTATTTCCATAATACATTAATAAATCATTTATTTCAATTTATTATTCCAAATAATAAATTCTTCCTCTTTCTCAATAGTTCATCCTGTCTAGTTGCAAGTGTGAAGGCAACCCAAAAGGACTGTGCTACTATCAATTTAAGTACATACTAATTATAATTATGAGCTTAGACTCCTAATACAACAGTCTCCCACTTGGATAAGTCTAATAACTGTAGTTGTTAGTGTAACTTCAAAATTTGACTAGCAAATTGTAGCCCTCAAAGTCGTTGTCGAACTCTTACCTAGTCAGTTATGTGTCCTTAGATAAGTGAACAAATATTCTTCCATTCTACAAGATATCGTATGGACATGAGACATGTATTATAATCAATCTCTCTATCCAATATTTGTTTCGCGATTTTTGATTTATGACGACTGATTCAGACTACTAATTGAACACGTCAATTCAGTCCAGGCTTGGCCAAGCGCTTTAGATGTCATCATCAAATCATCGAGGGGCCTACATATATCGCCTTTACCCATTAGGGCAAAAGGAACGGATAAACTTCAACTTATATGTGTGTACTATTCAGTCATCAAATCACACACAACAATACCTTTTATAACATCATGTTACTGACGCGTTTAGGCATTATCAATGCACAACCAACTCGTGAACAACAACTCATATATCTATGCTTCAAGAATATAAGATATTATCGTCTCAAAATTACTCTTGATAAAATCCATGAAGTAATTCTCTGAGCGTGAGTTTATCCAATACTAAAAATCACCATTTCAAATTACTCATGAAGATTGCAGCAAAACCATTGGTATGTCTAATCTCCATAGACAATCTACAATTCAATTCATGACAGTCTTAATTCGCTACTTACTTCCAAAGGTACAATCGACTGCGGATGTTTGAATAATCCAATTATTCAGGAAGTAATACATGCAAGTGAAACACAATAATAACCTAATTAACTATGGTCTCAAAACTACTGAATATAAATAAAACACTTATTATTTAATCACCATATTAATTAGACTTTATTAATTGTATAATGTTTCGATTAATCAACTAAATACTTGAATTAAACATTAGTCATGCTATGTTCTAAACATGCATACTATGTTTTCTCTATGGTCCCTCCTTTGTGAATAGATCGATTGGACATTATTCCAATGATGCCCATTTCACAATTCCAAAATTTTGGTTACTACTAAATGTGTTAGTGTCCAACCTTACATGCAATGTACTTTCATAATATCGAGGCCTCAAAGTCACAGAGACTTTGCCAATGACATTACAAAACACACCATTGAAACTTTGTTACTAAAACAATTCCATGGAAACGAAGTTTCAAATTCAAGATACAATTATTGAACACCCTTTTTGCATTAAGGTTCCTAACTCACATGTAGATTCTAATCATCAACTCCCACTATCGAAACATTTCCATATTTCCATACGACAATCAATTCTGAATAAGAATCAATTACGAATAAGAATCACTTCCACTCAGAATTATGTCAATATGGTCCGTCCAAATATGACTATACTTCCAACTGTCCACAAGCAACCAATCCTTTGGAATAACCTCATAATGATCTTGACAGTTGTTCAATAACTTTAGTCATACCAAGTTCTAGTCCTTTTCCCTCTCAATTCCCTAGGCATTTGGAAAATCAGAACAAGTGAATATCATAGCATATGTAATTAATCCTATATCCGAAGCATATGGGATTTGATACATAATGTCTTACATCAAGACCTGATATTTGCTCAGTCTCTTGCTATAATATTTCCATATATCGAATTTCCTATGTTGAATCATTTCAACACGATATTCGTATATGTCCATGACTAAGTTCTTTCAAACTTTTCAATCTAAACTTTTAGATTTGAAATGAAGTATGAGTGCCCTCTCCCCAAACCTTATCATAGCGAAAAATTTTCCAAATATAGCAACTTGCAAATTGAAAACTTTGTTTCCTATAAATAGTATTTCCAACTTAGAACACTTAGCATAACAATTATGGTTCCACTATCATAATAGTTATACTCTTGCTAGCATAACAATTATGCTCCCACTAGCTTTGACATGTAACCATAAATCAACTGGACTTCCAGAAATGAATAGCATTGACTTTCTTACTAAAGTGCAGATTTCCGATACGTGATGTTTTGATAAGTCTTCAACTAGACTTATTAATCTTATACACCTTTCATTAGATAACATATGTTTGTGTTTAAACCCTTTCAGAACTTATAGCTACAAGTCCTGAACGTTCAAACTGTTTCTTGCCATTTATCACAATTCGAACTATGAAAAGGGATGTTGTAATCATATATGGATTTGAGAACACAATTATCACAACTGCTAACCATGATGATATTAATCAGATTTAAAATCTACTAGCGAAGGTGTTTCCTCATAATCAATTTCATGAATTAGAGCAAAAACTTTTGCCACCTAGATTTTATGGTGTACGTGTTCCCATCCATGTGAATCTATCACTTTCAACCTACAATCATAAGATAAGGTTGAAGACAAAATCAAATTCAAATTTAGCTTTCATGGTCTGAACTTTGCTTATTCTTTATTTCTTGCCTTCTGCTAGCACAAGGGCCTACCAGTGCTTCCATGTTGTTAAGCAGCTCACTTCCATTGACCAATGTACCATCATGACCAACGTGCTCTGACTTTTGCAGTTAAATGAGAACCATAGAAACTCTTAAGCATTGCCAACTCAACAGGAAGGTGCACAAAAACAAGAATGTGTCAATTGATCACGATAGGTTATTAGCCTCAGTTCGTGTGCTAGTGATAACTAAAAGGTTTATTCTTGATTTACTCCTGAAACTCTTTAATACCAATAAGACTCCCACATAATTCTTGACATATAAAATTTTCTGTTAAGGAACATTCCTTAACAAGCAAAAACAAATATTCAAAAGCTATTATGGATTCTTGTCAAGAAAACACTTCATATAATTGGTCTTTGTTTATCCTTTGTTTTAACAAAACATCACAACTACCAATTTCAAATGTGCTAGAGTAAGAAAACATTATTACTCCACATTTCATGAGGTTTTATAAAGCTAATTAGTACGAAACAAGCTTCAAGATACGATTTGAAGTAACTAGAGTATGACTCTAAAACTTGATTTGAAACGAAGTATTATCCATCTCTTGATTTAACCATTTCAAAAATATCTGATTCCTCTTCTTAGTCAAAAAATTGCACTAAGATGTTCCTCGAGGAACAATTGTGATACGGTTC